TCTAGTACATTACCATTCATAAATATAGGAAGATCTAAATTATTACGATAACGATTGGCTGAATAAAATTGAGTTTTATCTGAATTAAAGTTCACCAGCCACTGTGAGCCCCATGCTGTAGCAGAAGTGAGATCCTTTTCAAGCTCAGATACCCCCTCCAAGCAATCAGAGAGTGTAGGCTTCTTATCATGACAAGAGTAAATGGTAGTGTCGTCAGCGAATAATGCCACCTTAGATGTGAGAATATCTGGAAGATCGTTAATGTAAATTAAAAAGAGTATAGGGCCAAGGATTGAACCTTGAGGAACCCCTGAAGTTACAGGATGTGAAGAAGAGTGTTGTCCATCGAGGACAACTTTTATACTACGATTGGAAAGAAAGGACTCAATAATCTTAAAGACGTTACCAGCTACACCATAAGAAGAAAGCTTATGGAGAAGACCAGCATGCCAAACTTTATCAAAAGCTTTAGAAATGTCAAGTGCGATAGCCTTAACCTCTCCACCTCTATCTAATGCACGGTAAAACATATCGGTTATTACTGTTATCACATCAGCTGTAGAACGAGAAGACCGAAATCCATATTGATGATCAGAAAGTAAGTTATTTGATTCAAGATGAGAGATTAAGTGTTTGTTGATTAAAGATTCAAAAACCTTGCTTATGACAGGAAGAAGACTAATGGGACGGTAGTTAGATGAATCAGATCGCTCTCCGGAATTTTTGAAAATAGGGATAACAGATGCTGCTTTCCAGCATGATGGAAAACAGGACTCTGATAAGCACTTGTTAAATAGTTTAGAAAGTATGGATGAAAGCTCCGGAGAACACCTCTGCAAGACTACAACAGGAATGTTGTCAGGACCACAAGCTGTTGAAGAGTCTAAGCAGGAAATTACTTTAGATACAGAAGCTGAAGTGATGCGAATGTCAAGCAAGGGATCAACCTGTTTGACGGCTATGTCAGGTAAAACGCAACTAGTGGAATCAAGAGATGATATTGATGAAAAGTTCTTAGCAAACAATTCAGCTTTGTCTTTAGGTGAGGTGACAAAGTCTGAACCATACAAGAGAGAAGGAATAACAGATTTGCCCTTATTATTGATACTGTTAAAGATTCTCCAGAAGTCTCGAGAGCCTAATTTTTGTGATGAGATACGAGATTTTATGACCTGGGAATAGCGAGCTTTGGCGTCAGACAAAACCTTTTTACAATGGTTTCTGGCGATAGTGAACAGATGTCTGTTTTCTGGAGAATTGTTTTGCTGATAGATATGGAAGTAACGGTTTCGATTAGAAATTGCTGCAGCGCAATGTGAGGAAAACCAAGGAGAAGAGTGAGGCTTGACCTGGAATCGTCGAGAGGGAATAAAAGATTCCATGCCAGCCTGAATCCACGAAGTTATGTAAGAAGCACATTTGTCAGCAGGAAGACGAAAGATTTCTACCCAAGGGCCATCACGAAGAAAATCACGGAAAGAGTCCCAGTCAGCTTTAAGGTAGTTGTATGTGGTACGATGATAGGGGGATTCTGATGAAGTAGAAGAATTTGATAATAGTTTTAGAGAGATCAAACCGTGATCAGAAGTACCTAAGGGTGAATGTGGAGAAATTGAGCACTGACTAGGATCCAAAACAAGACATAAGTCGAGTAGAGAAGGTAAATGATTAGGGTTGTCTGGAAAACGAGTTGGAAAGTTGACTATTTGAGTTAGAGATTGAGAAAGGCAAAAGTTGAGGGCCTTAACGCCAGCAGAGTCACTGACACTAGAGCCAAGCCAATCGGTGTGATGGGCATTAAAGTCACCAACAACGACGATATTGGCCGATGGATAAAGAGAGAGGGCTTGGTCAATTTGATCAGAAATAACATCAAGAATAGTGCAGTCTTGGGATGAAGGAGAGCGATATAGAACAAAGAGAAAGGCGATAGAGTGAAGTTGTGCTAAACGAAAGCACATAAATGAATAGTCTGTAGATTCAAACCTAGTTTCACGACAAATGGGTGAGTTCTTACGAATGTAGATGCCCAGGCCAAGCATGTGATTATTGGAGTCTTTACGAATTAAAGGAAGATAACCATCAACACTAAGATCACAAGATGGGACAGCCAAACTCAAATTAGTCTCACAAAGAGCAAGTAGGTCTGGTGAACTTTGCAAGAGATAAGACTCAACAGAAGAAAAGTTACTTCGAAGACCACGAATATTAGTAAATGATAGGTTTAGAGAACTTGGTGATGACAATGGTTTTTTGTGTTTTTTAGTTTTAGGTACTTTAGTCATTTTAAATTTATAAAGAACTTGACTCAAGTATAGATAGTACTCAGTACACTATTTAACAACTAAGCAATAGCCTCATTACTATTAATAAACCCTAAGCCGTAACAAAGGGCTCCAAATGTGGCCTCTGCAATGCACACCAAAAGTACAAACAGGGACACCATCCATGCGCAACATGGCACTGTTAGTACTCTGATATTTTTCGGCTGTTGATGGAATCAGCCTCTCTGAGAGCTACCACAGAGTTCGGGAAACCTGACTACCAGCCGGCCTCAGAACCATAAAACTGAGTTTTAGAGCTGTACCCTCATTAGGAGATAATAGAATGAGTTGCCCAGTCATAAAAATAGAGACACAAGCAATACCCACGCGTTGAGTCAAGAAGATCCAGCGTTCAACATCCTAAACTGGAAACAATGTATTAAAAATACATCTGCGCCAGCCTTGAATTGAGTTCGCCATGAAAGAGATGTAAATGTTATTTTACTACTTTGAGAGAGTAAAACAAATAACCTATGCTATAACCTAATCATATCATAAAAGTGGAAAAGAAAATATCTAAAATTATTGGAATTATGTATAAATCAAAGCATCTTCTTAATACAACTTGTTTAAAAAATAATTATTTCTCTTTTATTCATAGCTGCATCAATTACTGTAACATAATCTGGGCGAGTACATATCCAACAAAGTTAAATGCAATTTACAAAAAATAAAAAATGCACGCTGCCTAATATTAAACGCAAACAGGTATACCAGTGCTAAACCTCTACTAAGAGAACTTGGAGTGCTTAATGCCTTCAAAGTAAATATTCTTAACATAATACTTCTTATGTTTAAGTTAAAGAATGTACAACTACCAAACACTTCCCAATATCAATTTACTTCTATAAACCACAAATACCAAACTAAGTTCTTAATTAACGACTTTGTTATACCGAAAACTTTATTAAAACAAGCTGACTTCTCAATATCTTGGACCACGATTGTGGAACTCGATTCTAACAAGTAATATAAAGACTATAACTTCCACTCTACATTTTAAACGTGCAACGAAACAACACATATTCAATTTTGATTATAATCAATTACTAACTTACTTTTAAAACCTTTATTTAACCTTAGTTACTTAATATCTTATATATTGACGCAATACGTTTTTATTTTGTTTTTTCAATGAGTATTTTCTTCAATATGTATAGATCTAGTATAATGAAATATATCATTTGTTCACCAGAAAAAACAAAAAATATAGAAAGTTTCACTTCTATTAAGATTAATAATAAATAAAAAAGGTGCCAAAAAATTTCAAAAATTTGCAGAGCTTTACATTGAAATTTATGGATGCTACTCAATATCTCCTACATTTCACAAGATATCAAGACATAATGCCACAATAATTGACCAAGCTATACTATCTATTGTTTAATTATCGGAAGAGGAATAAGCACTTCCATGATTATAGACAGAATTGCTGAGGATATTTTTAAGAGAAAATTGTAATAGGGATATTTTAAAGACTTCTGCTTTGTAAAAAAGTCTGACCGTTAGTCAAGCAGTACCAGAAAAATAAAGCAAAATCGAAACGGCGTTTAATTTTTATCGGTAGTATATTTTGTTATTTCATGTTTTGCTTTACCTTTATAGTATGCGTATTTGTATTTACTCGTTTGTTTTGTGTTGCTTGTATTTTAACACTGATTCGTTTACGCTTAATTCTAGAATATCTTTCTGGCACTGATCAACTAACGAACAGACTGTATTTACTCATTTATAGTTCGAAAGCGTCTTTGGGCGAAAAGAAAAACAAATCCAAAATAAATAAACATATTAAATATTTTTTGATTGATAAAATGTATGATTTCAAACTGCTTTTATTGTTAATCTAATTGATAAAGCCATAAAATAATTCTGTTTAACTTTTGACCTTAAATAATCCACCACTGAGCGTCGCGGAAATCGAAAGAGGAACTTAGCACTAACAAAGCGAGCGCTCTACGATTACGCCACTACTGCATTTAATAACAACTGTACAGCGCACATTGGTATAGGTTTTGATTCTAAGCTACTTTATATATTGGCATCCAAACAGAGCCTTTAGACAATTCTTAAATTAAATCTTATATTTAATGTTCAATTATTTACCAGTTGCTCGTACCTATTGTGCTAAAGTAAAAGAATTATAAATTAAGCGCCGCTTGTTAAAATATAAAATTAACAATCGAAATAAGTGTAATTGGAAGCTCCTCCTTAAATAAAATGTACTAACGACTAGGAAAATAAAAACACAAAAACTTTGTCATAAATTTAAACAGCAAAAATAAATATACCGAAAAAATATTATAGAAAAGTGGCTTTTTGCTATCCTAAAACTATTTGTGGAAAATAAAATATACTTAGAAAAAGCATGCTAATACACCATTTCAAACATGAAAAACATGCAATAAATCCACACTTCATTTCACAGAAAGTAATTTTACAAAGCCATCTGACAAACATTTTAACAATAATAAACGCAGCGCACAACAAAAACGTGAAATTGTAATCAAAGATAAATTTCAAAAACAACCGCATAATAAAAAACAAAAAAATATTTTCAGCAGAAATCTCGTTAATCAAAAGCATAAAGCGACATAAAACAACATTGTTTGAATTATTAAACAATATACAAGCGTTATACTCATAATGCTGGATCGTTTTTCGTATGATCTCATAAAACTATTCTTCGGTAGTAGCATCGGCATCTGCAGTCCACAAGGTAAGGTTATCTCTAAGCAACTGCATAATAAGAGTGCTATCCTTGTACGAATCTTCAGCAAGGGAATCAAGTTCTACAATTGCATCATCAAATGCTTTCTTAGCGAGGGTACAAGCTTCTGATGGTTTGTTTCGAATTTCATAATGAAAAACCGAATAATTTAGAGCAAGTCCAAGACGGATTGGATCAGTAGATATCAAATTTTCGCTTATTTCAGAAGCTTGTTTATAAGCAGCATCAGCTTCAAATATAACTCGTTTTCGTTCTTCATCAACTGCAACTTCAGCCAAATATCTGCAAATGATAATATTAATAAAAACATAAAGAGTTTCTTTTGTGCTCTTGTAAGAAAAGAAAAAAAAAAAAAAATTAGAATGATGACACCATCACCTAAATGGAACAATGGATAATTAACAAAAATATACACAATTTTAACATTAACATACACAAGTAAAAACCAAAAACTTAATTTTCCAGAAAATTGTCTTTTTAATAATCTGATTTAAAAAAAGGGATCAGATAAGATTACTAAATATGGAAAATACTTGCAAAATATCATTTTTTTACTTTGCCTACTAAATAAAACCCAGTGAGTACAGACATCAATAAGCACATCTTATAGGTGTCACAAATTCGTAGGACACCTTTAAGGCATCCATTATGTACTTACTGGGAAACAATGTAATTTATTATAAATGTCTAAACAAAACAAAACATTTAAATAAAAAAACAAAAACAAAAATAAAAAAAGCCAACACCATACCGATAATAATCACCCTTCATTTTCAAATAAAAAACAGCAGATTCTAAAGTTTTTTTATTTGCTGGGTCAACTCGCTCAATAGACTTGTTTACCAAATATTTTGCTAACAACTCAAGGACTTCTTCACAAACACCTTTTAATTCTTTCTCAATATTAGATCTGTATTGAGCTGCAAGTGCCTATAGTAATCAAGAAACCATGTCAAAAAATGTTTATAAATATGTTTTTTATTTACTTAAATAATATATTTTGTTGCATAAATTCCACACCATTTTTTATGGTTGGAAATTATAATATTTTGATTTCAAAACTCGAAAAACACTTAGTATCTACTCCAATTGAGAAATGAGCTAAAAACAGTTACTGCAGTTAAATGTATTAAATGAATTAAGTTAGAAAATATCTTAATTGAAGTTAATAGTATAAATATTAATTTTTTAAATTAAAATTAATAATAAATGAATTAAAATAGAAATGTAAATTACAAATGAATTAAAAACAGTTAAAAACATCTACAAAACAATTTTTTTTTTATTATTTATAATAATAATATATATTAATATTAGAAATCAAAATATTTCCTCATAAGATTTTTTTAAAACTACCTGCTTGTCATTTGCTTTTTGCTCAATACTTGTAATAACTCTCCAAGAAGAACGTTTAGCACCAACTATATTTTTATATGCAACAGAGAGCAAATTTCTTTCTTCGCCAGTAAGGGGTTCATCTGTCATTTTTGTAACTTGTTTCATTGCAGCAGCCATGTCATCATATCTATACAATGAAACAATGCCATGCAATACTATATATTTAATACCTAATTTTGTTCATGTTAGAAATTGAAATAAGCATAAACATCCTTTTTAAAACACTGTTTAGTTTTATACACCTAACTTCATATACATTTCTTAAATTTAATGGTAATATGTGTTATATATATATATATATATATATATATATATATATATATATATATATATATATATATATATATATATATATATATATATATATATATATATATTTATATATATAGCAAAATACTAATAAATATAGTGATTGTGAAATTAGAACAAAAAAAAGTGAAATTAGAAAAGAAAATTATATACACTGAATGGAATAGAGACAGTAAAAGACAAAATAGCAACAACAAAATAGTAACTACAGAAGCAAAATAATAATCAATCAGTTATAATGAGGGAAGCTCTACTAATTTAAAAAAGAAACATGAAAAAAAGAAGTATGTCTTGGAAAAAGTTCCTCCTGAAAACAATTTTGACTGATTGATATTAAAATTTATGAAGAAACTAAGGCCAAAACTTATGAACACAAAATAAAGATTCACCCTACCCAATCACTTTACTTGGCAATTAAAACAGCCTCCTGTTTTACCAAATTTTTATATTGGTTATATAAAACCACGCATCATTGATCAAAAGAAACATTAATCAGATAGAATTATGTCTAGACTACAGTAGATAAGATTTTCCATTTGACTGTTTTATAAGGTTTTTATAGCTAGCAAGGGTGAGCATTGTTGTACTGCAAAATAACTTTGTCATGTCGACATATTACAGCAATTTTTCAGTGAGCAACCTTAAGAAATCAATTATGTTCTGTAGTGACCTTCTGCAATTGATATGTTTTGCTTGGAGCAGCTCAGTATAATAACACTCCACCAATCTGGTCTCACCAAATACAGAATAAAAATTAGATTTTATGATTATTAGACTTCACCTTTAATATTGAAAACCATGCCAAAGAAATGGGAAAAACACACATGTTTGGATGTAAGATGCCTGTGCTTTGCAAGAAAAGTGACATTGCATGTAAACACCATAGCAATAAGCTAACAAGTTTCTTAAGCTAACTTAAGTTTCCAAAGGTGCCCCAACTTCTTTGATAACTACTTGAATTCTTTTTGCAACAAACTTTTAAACATAATATATGAATAAAAATAATAATAATAACTTAAGGTTAAAAATACTTCATGACGAGGAAGCGAAATTGCTTCACAATATTTCTGGTGATGTTTAGTGAGTGGGCTTTTTAATTTTAATTAGTATTTAAAGCAGAAAAAAGTATAACGAGTTTTTAGAATGGCAACTTAAGCGAAAATAATTAGAGTTAGTAAACCAATATCTAGTAACTTTTCTTTATATCTAATTATTTGCTATATATATTTGTGTTCTGTTGTGACCTCAGGCGCGGTGCATGTTCATCTGCGAGTTACTTTGTACGCGTTGTTTGTGTTTAGTAACTAGAAACTTCTTATATGTTTGTTACGTAATTAGTTTTATTAACTATAACGGATTATAACTTCATTGAAAACGCAATTATTTTTGTAAGTCTTTGTTTAAATTGTAAAAATTGCTTTAAAAGATACATTACGATAAAAAACAGATAAACAAAATTAAATTTACATAAAGAATACATACTTTTTAAATAAAAAATAAGAATATACTAATAAAATCTATAATTTATAATAAACTTTTAACATTTTGACAATTTAATACATATTTAAAACTTTCATTTTTGTAAACAAATAATATATTTTTTCTTAAAACAAGTGATGCTAGAAATCTCAAAACGTAACAAATCGTTTCTAAAAACATTTCAACAGATTACTCTTCTAAGTCTGCGTATTTTTTGAACCAATAGAATTAGTTTCTTCGTTAATTTGGCGGGTTTTTAGTGTTCGCAAATATTCTTTTTATTCTTTCGCACAAAGATGTTTTGAGAACATTTAAGTTTATTATGTTTCCATGTATGTCCTTAAAACAAAAACCTTTTGTTTCGTGCATAAACTTAAATGTTCTCGAAACGACTAAAAAACCTGGCCAGTTTTTCGCAACTAAATATAATTTCCGTGGTCAGTATTCGAGAGCGATCGCTCCCGCTTCCCGACCAAGCCTGGATAGTATATTGTCTTTTGAAAACTTAAATGTTCTAGTTTATTATAAATTATAGAAAAACAAAATTTGAACAATACAATTGAACACTTCATTTTGAAAAGTTCCACAACTAAAACTTTTAAATTAAAAATATTTATAACATATTTTTTATAAATTAAACTCACAAATTTTTATTTCTTTTAAATTTAGCTTTTAATTTATTATACTATTTATCTATACTATTTATCTATTATACTCTAGTAGTAGTAACAGAAACAGCTGTAGCATCTATTGTTGCAAAGCATAAAATTTAAACCTTATACATTAACAGCCGTTAGCAAATGTTTATCTAGTGCTAGACTAGACTTTAATAGAATTTACAGAAAAAACTTTGTATGTTTAGTTTTTTCAGCACCAAGAGACTACTATAAAAAATACATTTTTTTGATCATGAAGAGTTTTAATTAAATGACTTGTAACTTTTTAAAATGATGAGTTTATTATAATTGTATTTCAATAGTTGTGAAATAATTTTAAAACATAATAAATTGTGGTGAACTTGTACACAACCCAACACTACCAAATACTAACAATCATGACTACATCTAGCTCTAATCCTTACCGTCAATTGATAAATGTACATTTTATCATTCTAATCCCTATTAGCTAGTCAATACTTGTGCATTTAACTAAAGTAATTTCTAATGATCAATTAATGTAAACAAACTAAATAAATTAATTAACTTTAGTTGTAAAATATTATTTTCATATTGACAAATAGTCATTAAAATATTATTTTCAATAAAATGTGTTTAAATCAAATGGAGAGAATTTGTGTAAAAATTCGCCCACATTACAAGCGTTATAATCATTATTAACACATGTTTTTAATCAAAGTAATACCACTTAACTTTTATTTCAAAACTTTAAAACTCAAACAGAACAAACTGTAAGTTTTTTGAAAAGTAAGAAAATTTTTAAAAAAAGTTCAAAGTAAACAAAAACCTAAAGATGTTATCTTATTGCAGATAAGTATTATAGATAAATTTTTCAACAATTTCTATCTAATTAATATATATATATATATATATATATATATATATATATATATATATATATATATATATATATATATATATAGAGATACATATATATATACATATATATATACAAACACACACACACACATTTATATAAATATATATATATATATATATATATATATATATATATATATATATTTATACACACAACACACACACACACACACACACACACACACACACACACACACATATATATATATATTTATATATTTAATATAAACTATATTACTATTTAACTTTTATTAATTTTTTAAAAAGGAAATAAAAGATATTTCTGTCATTTTTACATAAAATATTACACACAAAAATACACAAATGTGTATATTTATCTTATAATTTTATACAACATATTTCGTCATTTTAACGAATAGTTATATATTTTTAACAAGGAAAAGATAGTTACCTTTCTGCTTGCTCTGCTAATTTAGCTCTTTGGATCAAAATTTCTTTAGAATCTGTTGAAGCCATTTATACTTATATTTAGTTTTAATTTTAATTTTTTAGTGCGAACTTCCGCCTTCCACACCTTTGTTACAGAAAGAAATCGCGTGAAATTTCTTTCTCCAAATTGAAATCATATGTGCCCAACATGATGCTAAACAGATTTAATATGGGCAGTTCCTTTTCTACTTGGGCACCTAAATAAAACGAGATTGACAAAATGTTGTCCGATCCGGTACCCCCTCCTTCCCCCACGCTCAATTTTGATTTAAGTTTACTATATTTTAAAAAATTGGCAGAGAAAAAATTGGCACAGGAAGAGACAATTCTACAAATAAAATGAGGGGAAGGGTGAATCTTCAAAAAGTACTGACTAGCTTCTTAAATAAAATTTTAAAAAAAAGGAAAATTTAACCGACTGAATGGTGTCAAATAGCCGACTAGCCAACTAAATTCTTAAAAAAACCAACTATAACTTGAAAATCATCTTCTTTAGGGGTGTTGGGGATGGGGGAGGGTGTAATACCCCTACCTACCCTCATAAAATTGCCTCTGGGCACAGGTAGATTAATTTACTATCTACTTAAAAAAAAAACTTTCATATAATATCAGATAACTTCTAGTTTATTATTTTTAAATAGAAGATTCAAGTTAGGTTGCAAATGCGCATCTCAAACCGCAAACATTATAATTTACATTCCAGGTAGCACACAAACTTTGTTTCATCATCTTTGAATCAACGGGCCATTTTTTTCGAGGACGCCGCTGGTCAAACCGCAACAGTGGACAATGCGTGCTAAAGGGCCATGTTAACCGGGTTTTTTCTGCCAAAATTGAACGAATTAGGACTGCAGGACATGTGGTTCCAACAGGATGGAGCAACGGCACACAGTGCATGAGTCACAACCAATATTCTGAAAGCAGCGTTCCCGGGTTGCCTCATTTCTCGTTTTGGCAATTTGCATTGGCATGCAAGATCGCCCAATTTCACCGTTCCAGACTTTTTTCTATGGGGTTTTTTAAAGTTCCGTGTGTACGTGAACAAGCCCAAGACTTTGGAAGCACTTAAGGACAACATTCAACACGAGTGAGAGAATCTGTGTCCTGAAGTTCTCGCGGAAAGGATGAAATATGCCATAAAACGTGCCCGTATAGTAATCAATTGTGGCAGCACTCATTTGGCCGATACCATCTTCTCAACTTGAGCAATAAAATTGTAAAGGTTCAAATAAACATATTAAAAAAACAGAATCGAGGTTTTTTATTTTGAAAAAAAATTAGAGCTAAACAACATTGGATGACTTTATTTAGCCCACCCTGTATATATATATATATATATATATATATATATATATATATATATATATATATATATATATATATATATATATATATATATATATATATATATATATATATATATATATATATATATATATATATATATATATATATATATATATTGAAAATAAAATAAATAATAAGAGCTACAATACAGCCTGGATCACTAAAGGCTTAAAAAAATCTTCCAAAATTAAACAAAAACTATATATAAATATTTTGAAAACAAAAACACCTATATCGATAAAAAACAAATTTTTTATCGATATAGGTCCAACACTTTCTAAAAAAATCCCTAAGACCAAATCTTTATTTACTGATTTTTTAGTACCCATTGATAATTGCATTGGTTCAGTTGAGTTGTCTTCTGAATTATTGTTTAAAGAGTTTGAAAGAGCCTTCAAATCGTTAAAAAAAATAAATAAAGCAATTGGAGCAGATCAAATAAATGGAAACGTTATTATAGATTGTTTTGAACAGGTAAAAGTTGTTCTTTTTAAAGTTTTTAAAGCTTCTAACCATCAAGGTGTTTTCCCCGAAATGTTAAAAACTGCCAAAATTATTCCTATTTTTAAAGAAGGGGACAAATCAATTATTAGTAACTATCGCCCTATTTCTGTTCATTCCACATTTTCAAAAATTTTAGAAAGAATTATATATAACAGAGTATACAAATATTTCCATGTTAATAAATTACTTTACATTAATCACTTCGGTTTTAAAAAGGATAGCTCAACTGAACATGCAATTATCCAATTTGTACGTGAAATTCCAAAAACATTTGAAAAATCACAATATATTTTAGGACTTTTTATTGATCTATCAAAAGCTTTTGATACGGTTGATCACCGAATTCTAATCTATAAACTTAAACACTATGGAATAAAAAATAAAGTTTTAAAATGGTTTGAAAGCTATTTGTCAAATCATAAACAATTTGTTCTGAGTAATGACGGTTATCATACCAATTGTCTTTCTATAACATGTGGAGTCCCTCAAGACTCAATTCTTGGTCCACTCCTTTTTCTAATTTATATTAATGATTTAAATAAAGTCTCTAAGCTAACAAGAATTATGTTTGTAGATAATACTAACTTATTCCTTTCTAACAGTGATAATTTGAACTTTTTAAAACAATGAACAAAGAGCTTAGACATGTATCGAGTTGGTTTAAATGTAATAAGTTAACTCTAAATTCTAATAAAACTAAGTGGACCTTATTCCATTCGCTTTCCAAAAAACGGTATTTGCCATTAAACTTACCTAAAATTTTTATTGATCAAATTGAAATAAAAGGGATTCCGTAACAAAATTTTTAGGTGTTTATCTCGATGAAAACATCTATTGGAATCATCATATCGACTACATATGCACTAAAATTTCAAAAAACATAGGAGTTTTATATGAAGCACGAATCTACCTCAATAAAAAAATTTTATTCAAACTTTATTACTCATTTATACACAGTTATTTAAATTATGCTAATATCGCCTGGGGTAGTACAGAAAAAAGTAAGTTGCAACGTCTTTATCGCCGTCAGAAACATGCTATCCGTTTAATCTGCTTTGCTAATCGCTTTTCTCACGCAAAAGATTATTTTATTGAATGAGAATTTTAAATATATACGAGCTAAATATATATAATGTTTTATGCTTTGTATACATGTGGAAAAATGACTTGTCTCAATCTGTCTTCAAAGATATTTTTACTCCGAAACCCATCAAGAAATACAATTGAGAAATACTGATTTTTTAAATGAACCTTTCTGTCAAACGAACTTTATTCAATTTTGTAATGCCTATCGGGCGCCACATCTTTGGAATAAAATTGTTTTGCCCAATTTCGAACTACCCATTACTTTTCGTTTTTTTAAAAGTAAATTAAAAACCCTAATTTTTTCATTAGATGACATATTATGTTATTATTAATAATAAGAATTATTAACTTTGCCTTTTCTTATTTACATTTGTAAAAAGTTTATTCTAACATATTTTGTTGATTTTATATTCTTTACTTAACGTATACGTTTATATTAAATATTGGTGAGTAGATCCGCGTGACCTCTCCTTGGATTATATAATATATACTTATCAAATTTGTAAAAATTTGATACTGTTAATGCTTGTTTGAATTTATTTTAGGTTCTGACGACAAGATCCTTTGATCTTCTTTCAGATACCTTATTTTATATTTGTGAAAGTTTATTATTATTACCACTATTTATTTTTTTGGCAATATATAGTTGTAATACGACCAACAAATGTAAAATTTAAAAAAAAAAAAAAATAATAATAATAAATAAATAGATTTTAAACTAATCTTAAACTATAGCTAATACCAAAATTACATTGAAATTGATTATTATTGAATACATTAAAATTTAATGATGGTTGTTTTCATGATTATTAATCATGTAATTTTAGCTATAGTATTTAAGGTGGTAGGACTAGAAAAAACCTAATTCTTTTAAAAACTATTATTATTTCCCAAGAACTTCTAAAAAAGTTTGAATTTATGTTAAAAATCATATGACAATTTTTTTTTATTAATTTGCCTCGCCTACCCATACTTATATAAAAAAATAAACCAAAAAATAAGAAAATTTTAAAACACAATATCACAAAATATAATCAACAAATCACAATGAATTTTTGTAGGTTTGTTCTTCAACAATAGATAATTCATTTGAACTAAAATGACATTGAATCTTAATAGAATAAAAAATATACATCATTTATTATGTATGCGTTAAAAAAAAAATACCAAATTGAGAATAAAAAGCAAATAATAAGCAATAAATACATTTAATTATTATAAGATTTTAGTTCAAATAAACTTTATATGTATACTGAAGATACTGTGAAAATTTCATGTAAATTGAATTTTTCTAACTTAAGATATTTGGTTTTGAAGTTACAAAATCTTGCAAAAAATCAAAGTTCAATAAAACGCAAAATAAAGTTGTAATATGTTTAAAAATATATATACAATATGTTTAAAATCCTCCTGATACATAAAATGATGTTTTATTTTGACTTAGTTTATCAGAGTATCTTTTTTTTATTGCTCTGAGACTTTTTCTTCTATTTTTTACTTTTTCACTTGACTTGATCTCCATGCTCTTTACACGTGAAACATTTTTTTGATAAGATTTAGAATTTGTAACAACGCCTGATAGTCCAAATGAAAGTAAAACATTTTTAACACCTTCAGTACCATCATTGTAGTGTAAAATTGCTGAATTAATACTCATTTCATAAGTTTGTTTACAAACAAATATATTTTTAGGGCAACAAGACCAAACCAATGCATTAAGATTTTCATTTGCATTTTGGGTTTGCCCATGCACACATTTTAACAATAATTCTTCATTTGATAGATCTTTAAACACTGGTTTCAAAAGGTTACAAAACCATAATGGTAAATTAATATGTTCTTTATAATTTGAAGTATTATGTAATTTGTCATATTGATATTGACACCAACTAGTTTCAGTTCTTGGGCAAAAGCAGTGGAGAAACTCTTGATTTGAATATCCAGTACAGTGGAACAAAATAGCCCATATTGCCTTTTTCATGGCATATATGTTATTTGTATTACTTCTTATAGCTAAACCATAAAAATTTTGCATACTATTAATCACATTTTCTGTCAGTTTTTTTTTTCCACCTAGTGGAGTTGGCTTTCCTTTGTAACTTTTGATTAAATTTCGTAACCGTGTACCCATTCCTTTTTTGTACATGTGCAACACACTCTAACTTTTCAGGAATTATTTTATAGTCTTTATAGGGATCAGACTTTATTACTTCTTTAAAAGATGAGCTATCTCCATCTCCAAGATAATGAGTATAAATAATATTTTTATTTTTAATTGAACGTGCAAATATTTTTACAGCACCAGCTGCTTCCATTGACCTAGAAGATTGTTTATGATTTATATGACAGGCATGTTGAGCTTTCCAAGCATTGTATCGCGGTGAAGCTTTTTTATTTTTCCATATTCTACAGCCCATGCAAAATTTTGACATTGCTTCATAATCAACGCACTTATCACCCACAATTGCACTTACAAATCCATTAAGGGAGGTATGGCTGCGTCGTTGCCATGCACCATCAATTTTAACATGCTTCATTATTGGTTTATTATCATCAGTATAGTTATTTTTCATTTCATTTGTGGCGTGTTTCATACTTTCTTTAGCAGTTTTATCATAAGCTTTTGATATTACTATATTTAGTTTTCTAAATGGAGTAGCTGTCAAACAGTGTAAATTCATACAGCGACTAAAGTTTTCCATAGATTGATACCCTTTACCTATTTCTCTAAATCCAATTATCATTCTTGTGTTTGCTTCAAATGTTTTCCTACCCTGGGCTGTATTTCCATTAAAATTACTAATCTGCTTAGAAGAATACAAAGCCTTTTTCCATTCACATAAACTACACTTGATTTCAAGGTGATGGGCAAAACCCATGCGCTTAGAAAGATTATCAACAATGGTAACAAGGCTGTAACAATCTGGACATCTAACATCTTCCATGATATCACTTAAAATTGAAAAATTGATAAGTATGAAATAATCTTTATTCACTTTGTCATTTACAACTTGATTTCTATTTATCAGTGGCAGTAATTTTCTTGCACTTGCACAACTTGAAGCTGGAACAATATTCAGATTGCTTTTCTGTTGTCTTTCTGCTGCAATTGTATAACGATTTCCATGAAAAAATCTTTTCTTTTTTCGTCCAAAGTTTTGCTTATTAGATACTTTAATGTTATTTCTTGAAGTACTCATTATTTATAATACTTGAGATGAAATCTGAAAAGGTTTATAACATCAAAATTAAACAGCATACACTAAAGTTGCTTCAAAAAACTGCCAAAATTTACAATGTTCCTTAAGTTCCTTAAATGACCTTTAACAATTGCACGTTTATCAGTGTATGATATAAATCTTGTTGTTTATGGAAAGGTATCAAGGTAAAAAAACTGTTTACCGTTGCTAAGGGCGTAACAAAGGACTAGTCGTTGTATGTAGTTACATAAAAGCTTTAAAAACTAAATAAGAAATAATTTTTTTGAAAATTTTTTTTCAATACATGAAAGCTAAGTAATTTTCCTTCGAAAATAAAAAATAAAAAAAAAAAAACGATTTTCTAAAAATTTTTACATATTTTTTCTAGCTCACCACCTTAATATTATATATATTGTATATAATATTGTATTTAACTTAAATATAATTCTTTGTCTATAATTTTAGAAGATGTCTTTCACACCCCAGTGTAATTTAAGATTACTTGTCATTTCTGTAAAGTAACATCAACACTTAAAAGTTTGCTTGTTCATATTTATTTCAATTCAGAGGCATCCCGAAAGAAGGAGGGGGGAGGGTGGTGAAGGGGTATCTAGCTTTCAACGAATTTATTATTCGGCAAATTAGACACTGGACTCGACAAAAATGTATCTATAGCAAATGTCGGCCAGCAAGGATCTTTTTTTTTTTCTTATTCGGCAAAAAACAGTCACCCTTCCTTTATAACTTCTTTGGGACGGCACTGTGTCAATTATATATATTTTGTCAAAGATAATATCTTGTATTAGAATAATAATATCTTGTTAACATTAGTACGTCAACATCATACCGATTTTCAAATTTCCAAATTCAGATATTCAATTTGCAATTTTTCAAATCCTTGCAAATTCATTTAAATCCACATATTCAATTTGAAAAACATGCTTTGACGGCAAGTTTAACGACACTTTTTCCGCGACACCCAATTTTTGTTGTAAGTCAGTTTAAGATTTAGGCGCGTTTATTGGGTCTTGAGTCGTTTTTGATTTATTTTTAATAGTCGTTTTTGTCGTTTTTGATTTACTATTAAGTTAAATTTACTATTCTTTTTCCTTTTAATTCCTTTATTTTCTGTAGCAGTTTTAAAAAAAATTTTTGAATTCAAAAAGAACTGATTGCTTTATAAGTTCTTGAACTTGTAAAGAGTTATGAACTATAAAATTTAAATCCAAAGTAATGTTTCAGAAAAAAAAAAAAAAAAAAAAAAAAGAAAATCGTAAATTATATTATTTTTATTATTTTTACTATTGTTATTATTGTTATTATTATTATTATTATTATTATTATTATTATTATTATTATTATTATTAATATTCTTATTACAGATATTAACATATTATTAAGTTTATTATTATCTGTTTATTATATGTATATATATATTATATATATATATACATATTATATACATATATATATATACATATATATATATATATATATATATATATATATATATATATATATATATATATATAAATATATATATATATATATATATATATATATATATATATATATTATATATATATATGTATATATATATATATATATATATATATATATATATATATATATATATATATATATATATATATATATATATATATATATATATATATGTATATATATATATCATATTTATTGCTAAATAATGTAATTGTGAATAATATGAACAGGCTAATAAATTTTGAAAATTGAGCTATAGTATATTATTCTTCTAATTCATGAGTTTATAATTTTTGATCAATGCTTTATTTATATTTTTTCAGCTAAGATTCAAAAAAGTTATGGATCGTTACAATATTCACAGTCAAACTGAGCATCTGCAGTCAAAATATGTTGGTACTGGTCATGCAGACACTACAAAATTTGAATGGCTTGTAAATCAACACCGTGATAGTGTTGCATCTTTTATAGGACATAATAACATGCTAGATTATTTCTCAATTGTTGAAAATGAAAGTAGAGCTCGTGTTAAGTTTAATATGCTAAAGAAAATGTTACAACCTTGCGGAAAACCTACTGAAAAACCTGAATGGGAGCAAAACTAAGTTTTTTAAACTAATGACTTTACCTAATAAGTTCAATGTTATTATTGATATAAATAAATGTGAACATAAATATCTTATTTATTTTACTTTAGAAAAATATGCTTTCAAATTATTAAAAATTTTTTTTGTGTGTAACTAACTTTAATCCAGACCCTTTTTGGGAAAAACAAGAAAAAAAAGAATAATAAAAAAAACAAACAAACTAAAATGTTTTTCTGTTGTAATAAATCAAAAGTGAATTTTAGGCGCATATGAAACATGATGATATCATTTTGAAATTAGTGATAATATATTAATTGTAATGTGTTACAATAAAACTTGTTAATTTTTTTTTTCATCATTCTTTTTTTACTATCTTTTTAAAAAAAAAACATTTTTAGATTTTATTCTAGACATGCGTGTATTTAAAAAACAACGAGCAGGCCTTATAATAAGGTGTAGATATCTAGTAACTTAAATTAAAAGTTAGATTATTTTGTTTTGAATATTTACTATTAGAAAATAGTTTTACACTGCAGCTTTTTTTCTTTGTTAGTATGAGGTTTTCTGCATTTACATAATTTTTTTTTAAACAAGTTTTATTTTGTACTGACTCATTTTAGTATTGACTTTATTATTTTTTGATATTGATTCATTTTAGTATTAGTTCTTATTTTTGAATATTTTATGTTTTCTTAAGAATAAAGTATTTATTAGGTACACATAAATTTTTTAATAATGACAGAAGTATCATTTTTAAATAAAATATATGCAGAAAAGCCAGAAAAACAAGATGTTAATGAAATAAGTTTATACCTGAAGAAAGAAAATGGAAAAACAGTTGAACATGAAATCAAGAATTTAAAATTTATAAAGAAAACTTTTTCTGATGCAAAACATGAAATTGCAGAGTTAATTATGCGTATAACATCATTTGATAGTTTAGTTATTGATTGGTTAGAAGAACAATTGGTATATATATATATATATATATATATATATATATATATATATATATATATATATATATATATATATATATATATATATATTTCATATATATATATATATATATATATATATATATATATATATATATATTCATATATAAAAGCAGTATTAAATTCATACTGATGACTTTATACAAAAACAATAAGTTGCGAGGTTCTTTTTCTTCTTTTTCTAAAAAATTATAATGCACGTTTTTACAGAGCAAAAATGATATTAGGAAATTGCATACTTATCTATGAATTAAGTATATATATATATATATATATATATATATATATATATATATATATATATATATATATATATATATATATATATATATATATATATATATATATATATATATATATATATATATATATATATATATATATATGTATATATATATATATATTCAGGGGCTATTCTAGGAAAAAAATATGGGCGGCGGTAGAAAGTAAATCTCCGTCCCAAAGAAATTTAGAGGGCATATTGTCAAATATCTGTGGAAAAATTAATATTTGCCATAAAAAACTTACATATTTTATATATATATATATATATATATATATATATATATATATATATATATATATATATCGTATAACAAGAAATGACTTTTAAAGATTATATATATATCAGATATGCGGAGTCCCAAAAGGACTCTGGCTTTATATCTCTACTTTTTCAAAGTCTTTAGTGTTTAGAAGCTCTAAACATGTTTGCTGACTTATGATCTGCTATAAGAAAAAAATTCATGAGATTTAATGACTTGAAACTTATTGTTTTTAAACCTTGAGTCCTGGAGTCCCGGAGTCCTTGCCACCATTATACCTAAGAACTCTGGGTTGAATAAATGATTGTTCCTTTAAACTAAAAGTCTTAATTTTTTTCCTATTAGTAGTCCATAAACTTATTTATTTTTTTAGAGCTGGATACCAAAAACTAGGATGAAGTAATCTTTTTGTGACTTTCGAATCTGGAGTCCTTTTTGGGACTCCACATCTCTGATATATATATATATATATATATATATATATATATATATATATATATATATATATATATATATATATATTTGTACACAAGACAGTTTTTTTTTATTTTTAGTACTAGACACCTAAGACTAACTACAAACTAGACATTTAATAAAAAAAATGTGAATTATATGTGATTTGTTTTAGCATTTGTTTGAAATTTTTATATATTTGTTTATTTACATGTTTTATTGTATTGGCTACTATCAGCTTCCAAAGAATGTTTTGGTCTATTTACTTGAAAACATAGTTCCAATATTGGTATTGGGTCTCCAAAAATTACTCATAGAAGCTGAGAAGTTTGATTTCAAGGAAAATAAGGAATTTAATCCAATCAATTTTCTTGCACAATATCTGATGAGAAACAAATTACATTTGAAGAAAAATGCAGAAACTTCTCCATATGCAAAAAGTATTCAAAAAATATTAAGCAAGTTTAATGTAAAAAATGGTAAACTTGTATATTAAATATTATTTCTCTTCTTGTTACTCTTTTAAGTTTACAGCTTTGTTTTTTGTGTTTTTTTTTAAAATAAATTTTCAGAATAATTATTTATATTACATGCTTTGAATAAGTTTTCTACAATCTTTTGTAATTTGCGTAGTTTTTATGATAATAGACTAATAATCAATTAAACTTTTTTAGTTTCCATACAACTCATATCATTTTATAATAAAGAAATATTTATCTCAGAAGATAAGTTTTTGAGACTTTTAGAAAATCTTTGACAATAATATTAACAAAAGCAACATTTCATTTCTCATACATGGGTCTAATCATATTACCTCTCCCATGTATGAGGTAGTTCTTTTTGCAAAAAACATTTTTTTTAATTCATTTTTAAATCTAATGACCACACTAATAGTTGACCTTTTAGATAAATAAGTTCATTATTTAGCTTAAATTTCTACATCATTTTGGCTTTGGTTGTTACATAAATTTTTTTGCATCAAAAATTTTTGATGTCATGTTAATTTTTTTTCATAAGTTCTCATCATATGTTATGTTGATGAAAATTTTCAAAATTTGAATAATTTGTTTTTAATTGCAGTATTAAAGTTGTCTTCGATGGACAACGCTCTCTTTTATTTCCAGTATTCTTTAGGGGTAACACAAGATTCTATACTTGATTACATGTTGTTTCTCATCTATATTAATAGTTTTCCTGACAACCTTACATCTAACTTGGCTTCAAAGTATACTGATGAAACGACTATAAACTCCATTCTTAATTCAGTCTTCAATCTTTCACTATTGGCTTTTTAAGAAACCATCCTATTCATAATAAATGTAACATCTGCTAAAGTTGACTATTCCGTTTGCCATTTTTTTACACTTGATTTCATTCCTCTATAAATCTCTTATATGTTCTTTTATGTTAATTGTGTTGTCCTACTTGATTTTTCTAATGGTTCTTTTTTAATTTAGATTTACGATCCAAAAATATATTTTCAATTCACTTAGACCTGTTCTAGCAAACTTTCAGCCAATCTTTTTACTGTAACTCTTTTCTTTGTACTCAGAAAAAGTTATCTAGCTTTTTTTCTTGGAACATTAATGTTTTGAAAATTTCTTTCCCAACTTATACAATTCAGATATTAAGTCTTCTGTCAACTAATTTCTTGTTAAATAATTCTTTACTTTCTAGTTAACTCTCAACTAAATTAGTGGTTGCTTG